TGACGCTGAACATTTTTAAAGTTAAAATATCTTGTAACATATTTACCAAGAATAGTATAGTCTATATTTTCACAAAATATGGACAAGATAGTATTGTATGCGATTAAACTTTATGAAATGCATATTATATATATATATGTATTGAAAAAGTTGAATATTCGCATTCTTGTATTTCACACTCTTGTATAAAGTTATTGAATCCTCACGACTCCATCCATTAAAATATTGCTTCTCTTTTTAATATATGAATTGCAGAGTGTTTAATAAACTATTTTAAAATATAAGCACTATTTATTACTTTTAAAGCCTCAACTTCTTGAGGTTTTAATATTCAATTGAATGGCATTCATTAATATACTTGATAATGCTTAATTGAATTTCTCAATTTACTTCAAAGACTATCATTATCTTAATCTTTTTAAAATTCTAATTGACATAAAATCACATTTAATTTAAATAACATAAATTTTTAGTTTAACATAATACAAATTTCTTCGTAGATAAAATTAGTGTTATTTATTCAACTTTATTAATTTGTTTGTGAAAATTTATCTACACAAAAGTCTCTCTTAGCAAATGTAGATAAAAGTAGCGAGATAAATGAGCTCGAAATGAGCACGTTTAAGTCTGAACTCATGTTCATCCACAAGCAACGTTCATTCGGTGTGGAAACTCGTTGCGTTGAATGCGGCATATCGCGAACTTAAATTTCGTTAATTTTTGTTGATTAAATAAATTTGAAAAATTCCAATTTATTGCAAAATAAAATTTTCGCAAGTTTTTAATTAAATTTGATTTACGATATTTTAAGAAAGTTTGTTTAATAGGTAAACGGAATTTCAATTCAGAAAAGAAATTAAAAATAAAATTGTTTATAAATAAAATTAAAGTAAAAATTAATAAATAAAAAAAAAATTCATGAAAAATAATTTTTAAAATTTAACTTATGTGAAGTTTAATAATCTGAAAACAATAAAAAAATAATTATAAAAATTTAAAAATAATTTACAGATATAATTATATTTGTATGTGTTAAAATTACATTAAAAAATAAAAATGCATGTTGAAAATTTAAAATAGTAATTATAATAAAAATATAATTTAAAGTGGAAATAATATTGTTTTTATCCTCAAGTGAAAACAACTGTTCTAACTTAATTTACAAAGCCTTTCTTTCCATTTGAACTTTTAATTTCTTTCGAATTTAAAAGTGACATGACTCATTTAAGGCAAGCTTAATCTAAATAAGAAGAAATAAAAAAAATGATAAAAAATAAATTCGGCAAACTGAAAAATTAAAAAAAAAACCATAAGAAAATTAAAACAAGTTTTCCCTATAAGTACGATTTTCCACACTAAAACATACGTTCATTTTTCTATTAGAGAGGTCTTCCAAACAGTGGCACTTACCAGTAGGCAGGCAGACACACTCATGCACTATTGCGTTTTCATGTATTCGCCTAAGCCTATGCAGACATAAAACTAAAAAGTGGTCACCAGACAATTCGCAATGAATCCTCTGTTTTAAACAATTTTATTATCTTCCATTGAGTGAAAGTAATTGTTTAAAATGCACAAATGGATTTTAATAACATTCAGTTTTTTTATATTTTTCTTTGTATACATTTTCAAGATCACTGACTTAACAAAAAAATATTTTGGTTTTTCGTTTTTTGTATATATATATATTGCGGTTTTGTGCGCTAGGGCTCGAAGTTCATTCAAGACAAGATGTCAATACCTAATTTCGATTTCCATGGTGCGTGGCTTGCTAAAAGTACGATCTGCTACGATCTACAATAAAAATATTGTATCACCGCCATACTTTTTTCTCAGCGTGGTAGATCAATTTTCATTTTCTATTCCTTATTTCGATAGCAATGTCAAACTAAATTTTTTTAGTCAGCCAAAGCTTGTTCAAGTACGATAGCAGAACAAACTTAATACATGTATTGGCTGTAGAAGAACTTAGAATTCTGTGCATATATGTTTAAGTTATCAAAAATCGAATAAATATCAGTACAATCCGATTTTTTATATTGTTTAGTTGCTATTTTAATTATTATATTTGAATTTATTTCAAAAAATTTATATTTACAAATTTATCAATATTGATCAAAGCACAGAACGATTGATCAAAGCACAGAAAATCTCTAGATAGAAAGTAATTTTTAGCTCTAAAACTTTTTTCAACTTTTTAGTATTAGTTTAAAAAACATAAACTAATGTTATGGTTCTAAAAGTTATTAATTCAACAAGTCGTCGTTATTGTCAAACTTTCAAATTTTTAAGATTATGTTTATATTTTTAAAATTGTCTCCAAAACTTCGATGAAGTCCTACATGTTTAAGAATATTCTCAAACTTTATGACTTTTATATTTAAAGTATAATAAATTGATTTAAATTTTTCATTCAAAAATCGTATGTGAAATCAACACTTAAATGTTGAATATTTCTATGTAAATTTCAAAGTAATCTGTTCTGTTGCTAAGCTTGTACGTAATTATTTAGTTGATCAAATAACATTTTTCGAGAGGTTATGCTAGTGTTTAATCCTTTTGCTTATCTAGACTTATTTCATTAGAGAAAAGAATATCCAGTCTATATTCCAATTGATTGCTATCGTTATTATTATTCTAGAAGAATGGTCGAATCTGTTGCCAATGTCAATATTCGGCTAGCTTGGATGCTATTAACGTTTACTCAATGTATCATTTTAATTCAGGTAATTGGTTAAAATTTTACCCAAATATTTAGACATGTATTTGAATTACTTAGCACTTTTGGCAACAATTTCGGTTTTTTAATCTAAAAATCAATCGTATTTATTATAAACAAGACAGAGTTTTGAGTACGTTAAGTATTTTTTTTATATTAGTTAATTACAATATAAATTATTTGGTTCTAGAAAAGAAGAACGTCACCCATAACGACAATATACACGCGTAGGCCTCTGAAACACTTAGAAGGCTCATATCTTCTTAAGATCAGTTCAGGTTTAAAAATGCTTAACGCATCGTCACTATGTCGTCAGAATAGTGATATGCCCGGTTTACATGGTTACATCGCTTCTATCCTGGAACTTTATCAGGAATACTTCAGGATAGAGTTCCTTTGTTCATTTTCCATTAAAAATTTTTGTTTTTCTTCGTTAGCCTGCGTCCAGGCCTCGCTTAAATTTATTTGTTTTTTTCTAGATCATATTTTTTCCATTTGAGTATGATCGTAACGAAACGGTCTATAGCGGTTCAGTTACTTTCAGATAGCATCATCTTCGTTGTGATATCTTCGACGTTTATTTAACTGACTATTGTTTCAAGTGATGTTCTTTCAGTCTTCCATCTGTTGTTCAGTGTTGTCTTTGTTTGTATCTTCGTATATGCATTTCGGATCATTTACTTTGCCAATGCGGAAAAGATATTTTTGTAAATGTTCACGATTGAAGATTACGATTGACCTGTTTTCCTGTTTGACCTTTTCGCTACATCTGGGATCAATCTTCTTGAATATTGGAATTAATTTAATATGATAATATGATCCAAAAAGATTTTTAACATAAAGGAAGCATCTCAAAATTATACTTAGACAAACTTATATTCTATTCTAGAAGGTTTTTAAAATCATAAAAAAAAGTATTGTGTAATTTGATATTAATTTAGTAAGTAATTTTAGTAATTTATTAGTATCATGTGATATCACAGCGGATCAATTTAGACTAAATGTGGCAATTTTTAAATAATTTAAGGCGACGATCACATGTATCTTACTATTTATCTATAAAATGCATATTCTTTACAAATTAAAAAGAAAATATTTATGGACGTGTGCGAGTTAGGCTAAGTTGATGCTAAACCAAATGGGAGATTTTTTGGGATTTTTTGCACTGCACACATTTTGCCATTTATCAACACGTATCGACACATCAATACATTATCGACACAACTTAGAATTTCCCTCATTTAGAACGCAACTTAGCCTAACTCGCACACGACCTATATTTATAAATATTTTGACTTGGAAAAATCAAGGGTCTGAACATAATTTTATTCTATATTTTTTTGTCTATCGTTCTTATTAATTTGGTTGGTTTATAAAATCATTTCATTCGAATCACTTCAATTAAGAAATACTCCTAATTTTATTCCATTTTAATAACTTATTTTATATATATCGAAACTCAGTTTATTTATTTCCTCTAATATTTTTTTCAATAATGCTGCTTCGTTTTATTCTTCTTCAAGTTACCCTAAACTTGAAGTACCTCAACAAATTTTTTTCCTTAAACTTAATTGGACATCCTGCTTCCTTTTCCCCCCTCTTGATTGATATTGCGTGTTGCCAACAACAATAAAATTCATTTCATATCACAAAAATATAAATTTTAAATTCATTGTCGTACATGTACTTCCTATGAGAAAAAATGTTAATTTATTTGATTGTTTTCAGTTAGTAGTTCCCAAATTATAAACACATGTATGTACATTTCCT